CATCGAAAATGACAACGTAATTTAAAGAGCTGCCACTTTCACCTTCAGAATGGATTTATAGAAAAAGTGAATTGTGACGAAGAGGATTCAGAAAAAAATGTTGCGAGTGTCTAAGATCTTTTATTTAATCTAGTAAACTTGTTAGATTTTAAATGAGTGTTCGAAGTGTTTAGTAAGTGAAAATAAGTAAGCCTAGATATAACTGCAGAATGGTACGCTTTTAAAATTAAATGGATTAGTATGATTTTTATATTGTATGCTTTTGTATAATGTATGTATCAAGCTTCGCTTGTGCGCTCATATGCAAGCTGAAAATTTTTATTCATAAGTATAATTTTTACATTGTGTGCTTTTGTGCAATATACGTATGAAAAAAATTTTTAAATGGTTTTTATTTGAAAATTCCACCCACCATGCACTCCTCCCACCTTCACAATGCTTTTAATTTTTTTACGCTTACCCACTCAGCAGAGTCGGTAATTAGGCTACCCTCTTGAATTCCCCTCCTCCGGAAAAAAATTTACCGACCTGGCAATGTCAATAACCGAATTTAAATTACGCTTATAACCTGGCGCTATTATTTACAAAGTTTTGGCAAAGGTTGTTTGGTTATTGGCTCGCTGCGCCGGGTAACGCGATGTCTGCCCAAAATAAGACTTCTTGCCACTCCTCTGGTGCCAGCCAAAAGACATATATCTATAGAAGTGTCTGGAAAAAAGTAATCTTACTAGTTATGTAGTAGGAGAAAACGTGTCAAATGCCAATCACATTTTGTACTGCGAGATAACACAGGAAAGTGGAACAGAGACAAGTCTGAAGTCTGATACCCCCCCATAAACTTAATATCGCCATAACCCGGAGAGAAAATAATTTAAAAAGTGGGACTAAACATGTAGTTGTTAGGCGGGGCAAGGTGAAAAGTGTAAGCACGTAATAGGTGCACTTATCAAGTCGCGGGGATGCGCCTTGGCGACCGCGTGACTATCTACTTCAGATTTGCATACTCGAATTTTCAAATATCAAAAAATAAGTATTTTCACCAGTATGTTTTCTGTTTTAATTTAGTCTCTTTAATCCTACTCCACAACTTTAACGACAAATATAGGATAGAAAGTTGTTGTAACAACGAAAACGAGGCATGTGTATCTCAAAATGCTCAATTTAAGATTTCTTCAGTTTCAGTTTCAGTCTGAAAATGTTTTTACCATCAAGTTGGTTGCAAGCCGAATTTTTCCTGTGTATAATTAAGATAGGCGTGTTCTTAAAATCAAGTAGAGTTGCCAACAGTGTGATGTCGGCTACTGGTACTTCCTAATTTCACAATAGATAGTACGCAGCATTGGGAGTTCTCAGTGGCTAAGATAGTAGAGCGCTGAGCTCAGGTTCGACCCTCCGCTCCGTCACTTCCTCCCGAGTAACTAGGTGGTATTTTTTACATGACCTAATATCTGATGTTTACCGTGGCATAAAGATTTGAAGATAATAGTAAAGAACAAAGATGCCTCAGAAAAAGGGGTGGCGGGTTGATGACTCTCTCATAGTAAAATCGTCCCGTGTACAATCTTTAACATACAATACGAAAAATAAAGTATATGTGGTGAATCGAAGTCGTATATGTACGTATGTACTTATGTACCCAACCATTTAAACGATAGACAAAACTTGGTGTTGCTAAGGAAGGATACCTATTCGGTGGCAAGTTTTAAATATGAATAAAAACTGAAATACCTAGAATAGATCAATATCCATTCTAGATCAATGTAATAGTATCAACATAATCGAGACAAAAAGAGGAGTGGATTCGCATGAAAATGAGCATATTTGCTCCGTGCATGACACGCAGCGCCACCCTCGGTGTCAGAATCGGGCAATACCGTACCCCTGTATGATTAAATCGTAACACTGTCGCTTATAGGAGAAAGTATTATTTATTGAATAAGACGTACATACTGCTATCGCGTAAACATCAGCACCCTAAAAAATGGATATGATTATCCAAACAGGCTTTAAAAGTATAAGTTGCAACATAGTTTTTAATAATGAAACGCTGAAAAAAGCTAAAAAATTAGTAGAGAGTGGGCACGTTGCCTACGTACAGGAATATGTAAATAAAGGAGTCGGTCATCTGATCAATTGCTATGTTGTGAGACAAACATCTGTCAGCTTAAATCCATACAAAGTAGAATTATCTGTAAGTACATTATTGCCTATGCTTGACAAATGTAGGTTATGGTAACATATACATAAATGTGATACTGTCTCGTACGCATTTCGTTACTTTGTAAACGTAAACACTGATTCAGATTATACAGCTAGCGGCAGCCTATGTCGACTGCTTGGAGTTATTGCTCTCACGTATACAACATTACAGATAAGTATGTGTGTTGTGTACTATATGACAGATGATATTTAATAACCCATTATTTAAAATTTCGGGCGATTTGAAGTGCCTAGCAAAATTATTTATCCGTATTATAGACCCGGTTTGGCTAAATAACATTTTTTTTCCGCCTTCGATTCCTCAACTAATTACTTTAAATGAAATAATATCTTTTCTCATATAAGACAACGCTTACTGTACGATTCATGGGGGTACGGGTTCGCCAACTTTGCTCACCTACAGCGCTGCAGTCGTTTTTTTTATCCCCTCCAACCTGATGCACGGAGCGAATAGGCGCACATTTTGGAGAAACGTGGAAGGGGTATACCGAATGTGTGCCTACGAAGAGAGGAGCGGAAATGTCGACTACACATAGCTATGTAGCTGAGCGCACAGCCAAAGCAAGCGACGACACGAGTTTTTCTCTTTTGACTGCAACCGAGTATATGCTATATATATTTAACTGACTTTGCTCTTGATTCAATGTTATCTATCAATCTGATTTAATTGAATCGTGGAGCTAAATGCTCCTAACAATTATTTCTTGAAAAAAAGACACTGTAAATTAATGAAAATTATGTATAAGCTTAAAACTTTAATTATTTGAAATCCACACCGTTAGTTACAAGCGGTTGTAACCGCAAGAAATAAATTGTAAGAAATGTAAATACAAGCCAGAAAATATAATATATGTATGCAGATAAATATTCTTGTATGATGAAATGTATGTTCTACTTTGCTAGTAGTAATCATATTTGATATTATTGTAATAAAAGTAAGTTTTCTTGTGCTTTTGGATTTTTTCTCTCTTACGTTGAATGTTAATAATTTTTTGGAAGTTTTAAAATATAAGAGCTATACTCATATCCTAAGAAATCGTTTTATTATTTTAAAAATTACGAAATGGCCTTGCCAATGATAAGTATCAACTTACCAAATTATTGAATAGAATTAGTTTTGAAAATATATTAATTTCGTTATTTCGACGTACTGGAAAAAAATTGTTAGTAACATTATTTTTAAAAATAAATAAAACATAAATAAAAAGAAAATAAACCAAAATGATGAATCGCAAAAAAAAAAAATCTGCCGACAGTTGGAATCGATCCTTAGATAGCAAAACAAAATGAGCAGCAGCGTAAGCCTTAACCATCTTAGCTATCAGAAGTTCAGATGAGAGAGACCTTAAAGTCGCATATGTTCATTGACGACCTCCGGAGCTTATCCTACAGATCATAACAATTATGACGAGGAAAATAATAAATTAGTGATTATAGCTGAACTGCCATCCTTAAAAAAGACGCTTAAAATTTTTTCAAAATAATACTGGATTTGAAAATAAGTATGAACGTACGGGAAAAATAAAAAAAAAGAATATTTTGAAATCAAATTCTGTGCATGTTATTATGAGCATTTAGTTCCACGAATTAAGTAAATCAGATTAATAGATAACATTGAAGCAAGAGCGAGAGAGCAAGAGTCAGTTAAATATACATAGCATATACTCGGTAAGGTAAAATGGGGTATAGTGGGACACTTGTTTAAGCAAAAAATATTTATTCCTTATTTTTGAAGTTCTACCAATGCTAATTCACCTAAATTTTTTTTAAATTGAAAATATAGGTCTTTACTTAAGGAAACAATATTTATTGACTGTGATTATCATTATCCGTTTAATTAAATAATTTTTCAAATAAGTCATGAAATCTGCAGTAGTGGGACATAGTCTTTGAGGATTACGGCAGTAGTAGCATACTGTGTGTGGTAGTAGTGGGACAGTATATGATAATGTTATTTGCATATGTAAGAACACAATTTTTTATTTATAAGAGGTGAATTATCACTTTTGAGAGTATATAAATATTAAAAATAATAGATTAATAGGGATTTCTCTTTTATATATATTTTTTTCAACGATATCACGAAATCCCTACTTACTATGTCCGTTAATAATAAAGGAAAAAATATTGTCTAATACAACATAAACTAAATAATATAATTATTAATAATACAAACTACGAAAATAATAATAGTGAACACAAGTTTAAAATAAATATTAGTTTCTAAGGTCTTAAAATTTTTCTTTTTTTCTTTTTATTTTGCTCTGCAATAAATAAACTTCACACGCACTTAATGCTTTTTCATTGTCTTCTAGCTTAGATAAACATTGTTTATTTCCAAATTATTTCCAAAGATATACATTGTTTATTCCAAAAGTCATTATTTGCATTCCGGTTTTCTTATTTAAAAATTTTTTTTTAGTTTTTAATTTTCAAGTTAATTTCTATTTTTGTTACTAACAGTTTTTTTACTCTCTTGAAACTTCTTGTTTAAATTTTTTTTGTACTCTTTAGCGTTTTTATTTCTTCTTTTTCTTGGTTATTAACTAAAGCCCACAACTTTTTCAATATTTTTTTTTTAAGTAATGTATGAAATTATTAACAACTGCACCGGATCGGTTTTCCTTAGCTGCTTCCTTCTAGATCTTCAAATTAAGAATGGTTACAGAAAATATATTTTTTAAAGGAGAATTATTTGATTCTTTTGTGGAGATGAGAAGCAAGTTTTAAAGGCTGAAATACCAAATGAAAATATAATGTAAGTAAACTAATACCTNTAGAACTTGATTGTCATTTAACTAAAGATGGTGAAGTAGTAGTTTGTCATGATCAGAATCTTTTACGAAGTACTGGCATAGAATTATATATTTCTAAGATTAATTTTAAAGATTTACCTTTGCTTAAGCAAAGAATACCTATAGATTTTGAACCAGGTAGGTTTGCATTAAATTTAGAGACTTCAAGTTTAAATAAATATCAAAAATACTTATTGTATGTTATTTTTATTTAGGTAAAGAATACATTGGCTCAAAAAGCTGTAAAGAAAGAAGATTTGCGTTGTTAAGGGAAGTTTTTGAAGCTTTTCCTTACATTCCAATTAATATTGACATTAAAGTTAACAATGATGAACTTATATTCAAAGTATCAGAATTGATAAAACAGTATGGTCGAGAAGAGTTAACTGTTTGGGGCAATTTTAGTGATGAAATAACGAGAAAATGTTACAATATGGTATGTTTTGTTTTTTAACTGTTACATATTTCTTATTCATATCGATTGCCAAGTGAAGTTTCGATTTTATAGAATCCAAACGTGAATCTTTTGTTCTCAATGAAGAGAGTTCTGCTGTTGGTAATATTTGCGTACACTGGTCTTTTACCATTTGTGCCTCTTAAAGAAACTCATCTTGAAATATTTTTACCATCAGTTTATTTAAAGTGAGTTTTTCTTGAGACTCGGTGATTTCTCCATGTTATAACCAATGGAATATTTATTAATGAACAACATATGCAGCTTTAGGAAAAAAAATCATCAAATGCCAACATTTTTGCCGGTAGACAAATTTTTTTTAAAAGCAATAAATATCTTATTGATCAGACCGTGTTTGTTTTATCATTTACAAGCTCGTGGAATACACGTATGTAAAAACGTAATAATTGCATGCCAAATATCTCATTATAAAAATAAATTGTGGTTTATATTTATACAGGTTTATTTTTGGGTGCTAAATAATGAAGAAGATTTTAAAAAAGCATTTGATCTTGGAGCAACAGGTGTTATGACTGACTATCCTAGCAAATTAAAATTGTACCTTGACCATAATGAAAATAAGTAATCTGTAAAAAAATTCTATCTTACCGTAACATAGAATCGTAAGTAGCAAAGTACATTAATATTTTACTGTATTTTTCGTGTTCAAGGTCCAGTTATTGACTCAAATTACAGTTATGGTTAATAACGACTACATAGTGCTTACATTGTTTTGAAATTACTATGTATTAATACAAAAAGTTTAAGCATAATATTGAGTAGTCTTAATAATCAAATTCTTGTAGTCAGTGCGTATTGACATTATAATTAATTATGATATATTAATAATTGCTAACTAAAAAATCTGTGTGATGTAAATTATAATAGTTAGTATTAAGTTACAAAATTAGTATTCATGAATGACACTTAAAATAAAAGATGGATTTTTAACCCTAAAAGGGTATTCAGCGTAAATGTACAATGCAAAAAGCACCTTTAAAGTACAGAGTTTGTTTGTATAGGACAGTAAACCCTACAATTGTTTTTTTTAATTTTTAAAATAAGATGTTGTCATATACTAAATATTTACATTTTCATCCAGATTATTCCTACGAATATTACTGAAGTACAATTAGCAAGAGTATATAAAAAAATGTCTGCAAGAACTGTATAAACTCTAGTCATTATGTACCTAATAAATTAAGAAAAATGTACATTTTCCACAGAATGTAAACTCAACATATCCTGTTTTCTACTTAAGTAATACTTGATCCTTTATAATGTAATAAATTAAAAAGTGCTTATACTTTCAAATATGTAACACTCATTCAATAGAGTTTTTGCTTTAATAATTTAAAATCTTTTTCGTTTGTATCTTTGATAAATCAATTTGATTGTTTTGTAAGATAAGGTAAGTATACAGTATACATTTTTGGACACTTGTTGAATATGTCCATACTTTATAACTTGACATAAATAGATGCACGAGGGAATCAGTAACTGTTACATGTATGCGTTGTATTACAAATCATGCGAATTGAAAATTGAAATTCATTTAAACTAATTCACCAACCAGTCTCTGCACTTATGGTAATAAAATTTTTCAGCCACTTCACCATCATTTTTTACAGTATAATAATGATATACTTTCCCGCTGCAATATGTGCAGTTTTCATCTGATGCATGTGATTTATTGAAATGTTTTGGAATGCCAAGATTGGCACTAATAAATTTTTCTTTGCAGTAATCACAAAACACTAAATCTGGTCGGAATCTTTCATGCACTGAGTCAGGAACAGCTCTGTCATCCATTAGAGAATCATGTGATTTGTTGACTAGTTTCAATTTATGACCACTCTTGCGAGATTTGTTGCTCTGTCACCGGAGGACATTTTATACCTGGAAAAATGAAAGAACAATAGGTGCAATTTTTCAAGTTTTGCATAAGTAAACAGATAATGTAAATTCAATAATTGTGCGAAATACTTACGTTATGAAAGAGAATTACGTACATAGTTCTAATTTAAAAGTAAAATGCAATAGATTCAGTCATTAAACTACTTATATAATGAGTGTCATTGATAAAAACTTTTGTTCCTTATTTTTATTGTTTCCTTTTTACTTATTCACAACTTTGCATGATTTTACAGACATCTTCCACTGCTTGTGTGTAACATAGAGATATGAAAATCTATTAAAAGCTATAAGAATTTAATATTTACTGTGCGAAATGTGATTTTGTTAATTTTTGTTTTTCAAATAGGTTAATGACTAACTCTGCTGTTTGCGTTTTAAGCATAGACAAAGATTAGTAGGGAGATTGCTGACTGCCATGCTACAGAGTGTGCCCACTTTTTTCCAGTGGTTCAAGCGCCCCGCCGCGGCCAAGTGGCCGAACCAGGCGCACATTTTTTTTTTTTTTGAGAAGCACGGTATATTCAGAGCAATGGCACGTAATTTTAGGCCAAGACACTTTAACGGCAGGGCCCGGGTATTTGAGATCCTAGGACGATTCCTAATCTTTCGTAGATTTAAACTGATAGCCCCAAATTAAGTCCAGCGGAGTTATAGCATAGGAAAGAAAATAATTTTTTTTTTAGTAACTTTACCGAACCCAATTGCGGTATTATGAAAGATTATACCTTATTTACATGTCAAAATTTTTTTCCCTGACGAAACATACGGTTCGGTTCGGAGCAATGAATTAAAAACAAAAATTTTTTTTTGAACTCACTTTACCGCTTCAAAATTTAATGAACTGTTCATTACAATATTTGAAATGTAAAAAAAAATTCTCTGCCGTTTCTGATTGACCGTTTCCGAGAAATAAATTTTGCAAATTGCCGAAAAAATCGATTTTCGAGACCTTTTTGAACAAAACCTGAAATAATTAGTTAACATTGTTGAAAATGGCAGGGAGTGCATTCATACCTTTATGGAGTCCCAATAAACTATACGTGTCGTTCCCTGCCATTTTTGATAATATTTACCCTCCCTTTGCCCACCCCTAACATATATAAATCATAGGACTGTAGTGGTGGCACATGACGTCATTAAACGTATTGTAAATCGTATAATTTATATATGTTAGGGGTGGGCAAAGGGGGGGTAAATATTATCAAAAATGGCAGGGAACGACACGTATAGTTTATTGGGACTCCATAAAGGTATGAATGCACTCCCTGCCATTTTCAACAATGTTAACTAATTATTTCAGGTTTTGTTCAAAAAGGTCTCGAAAATCGATTTTTTCGGCACTTTGCAAAATTTATTTCTCGTAAACGGTCAATCAGAAACGGCAGAGAATTTTTTTGTACATTTCAAATATTGTAATGAACAGTTCATTAAATTTTGAAGCGGTAAAGTGAGTTCAAAAAAAAATTTTTGTTTTTAATTCATTGCTCCGAACCGAACCGTATGTTTCGTCAGGGAAAAAAATTTTGACATGTAAATAAGGTATAATCTTTTATAATACCGCAATTGGGTTCGGTAAAGTTACTAAAAAAAAATCATTTTCTTTCCTATGCTATAACTCCGCTGGACTTAATTTGGGGCTATCAGTTTAAATCTACGAAAGGTTAGGAATCGTCCTAGGATCTCAAATACCCGGGCCCTGTCGTTAAAGTGTCTTGGCCTAAAATTACGTGCCATTGCTTTAACTAGTAGGGGTATGAGAAGAGAGGATTCGCGTAGAAATATCCATGTAGGCAGTGTTGGGTGAGGAAGATTTGATTTTGCATTTTTATCACTAGGACCTATATATAGCTACAGATTCTAGTGAGAAAAATGCAAAAGCTGAATACGAGGAGGGAGGAGGCCAGTGGTTCTCCCCAAATGTGACTGGCAAACTTGTGGGAAACTCAAATTGGCAATGTGGTGCAAGACGCAAATACCCAGAGAACTCGACACAATTACATGCACAATAACTTAATAAACTAATCCCAAGCTATTTAACCCAATAACCCAATGGGCCAATAAGCAGCCTCATGAGTTTAAATAAATAATAAAATTTATTAATTGACAAAGCAAGCGCCAATCCCGTTGTCATATACTAAATATTTACATTTTCATCCAGATTATTCCTACGAATATTACTGAAGTACAATTAGCAAGAGTATATAAAAAAATGTCTGCAAGAACTGTATAAACTCTAGTCATTATGTACCTAATAAATTAAGAAAAATGTACATTTTCCACAGAATGTAAACTCAACATATCCTGTTTTCTACTTAAGTAATACTTGATCCTTTATAATGTAATAAATTAAAAAGTGCTTATACTTTCAAATATGTAACACTCATTCAATAGAGTTTTTGCTTTAATAATTTAAAATCTTTTTCGTTTGTATCTTTGATAAATCAATNATCATAAATAATTAAAGCAACCAGTAAGTGCCCCTGGTTGTGTGGCGATAGGTGCTTGCGTTATTATTTTATTTATAGTAAATTAAGTAAGCGACCAGTAAGCTCCCCCGGTTCTGTGGGGATAGGTGCTTGCGTTACTATTTTATTTCTAGTAGTTTTAAGTAAGCGACCAGTAAGTGCCCCTGGTTGTGTGGGGATAGGCGCTTGCGTTATTATTTTATTTATAGTAATTTAAGTAATCGACCAGTAAGCTCCCCCGGTTGTGTGGGGATAGGCGCTTGCGGTGTTATTTTATTTATAGTAATTTAAGTAAGCGACCAGTAAGTGCCCCTAGTTGTGTGGCGATAGGTGCTTGCGTTATTATTTTATTTATAGTAAATTAAGTAAGCGACCAGTAAGCTCCCCCGGTTCTGTGGGGATAGCTTGCGGTGTTATTTTATTTATAGTAATTTAAGTAAGCGACCAGTAAGTGCCCCTAGTTGTGTGGCGATAGGTGCTTGCGTTATTATTTTATTTATAGTAAATTAAGTAAGCGACCAGTAAGCTCCCCCGGTTCTGTGGGGATAGGTGCTTGCGTTACTATTTTATTTATAGTAGTTTTAAGTAAGCGACCAGTAAGTGCCCCTGGTTGTGTGGGGATAGGCGCTTGCGTTATTATTTTATTCATAGTAATTTAAGTAATCGACCAGTAAGCTCCTCCGGTTGTGTGGGGATAGGCGCTTGCAGTATTATTTTATTAATCATAAATAATCAAAGCAACCAGTAAGTGCCTTGGGTCGTGTGAGGATTGGCGCTTGCTTTGTTAATTAATAAATTTTATTATTTACTCAAACTCATGAGGCTGCTTATTGGCCGATTGGGTTATTGGGTTAAATAGCTTGGGATTAGTTTATCAAGTTATTGTGCATGTAATTGTGTCGAGTTATCTGGGTATTTGCGACTTGCACCACATTGCCAATTTGAATTTCCCACAAGTTTGCCAGTCGGATTTGGGGAGAACCACTGGCCTCCTCCCCTCTCGTATTCAGCTTTTTCATTTTTCTCACTAGGATCTGTAGCTATTTATAGGTCTTAGTGATAAAAATGCAAAATCATATCCTCCTCACCCAATACTGCATATAGGCGCACATTTTGGAGACGCGTGGAAGGGGTATACCGAATGTGCGCCTACGAGGAGAGGAGTGGAAATGTCGGCTATATAGCTGTATAGCTGAGCGCACAGCCAAAGCAAGCGACGACACGAGTTTTTCTCTTTTGACTGCAACCGAGTATATGCTATATATATTTAACGGACTCTTGCTCTTGATTCAATGTTATCTATCAATCTGATTTAATTAAATCGTGGAGCTAAATGCTCATTAATTAGATACACAGAATTTTGATTTCAATACATTATTTTTTAACTCTCCCATACTCTTAACATTCCCAAATCCATTTATGTTTTTAAAAAGTATGTAGCTTCAACTATTTTTTAAGGTTTTCAGTACAGCTTTAACCACTAATTTATTAATTTTACACATCCTACTTGCTGTAAACTGTAGGACAAGCTCCGGAGGAAATCCATGTACTATGTGATTTCGAAAGGTATATAACATGCTCTTCGGATCGCTAAGATGGATGAGGCTTATTCCCCTTCGTAGATTGTTTTGCACTTAGGGGTTCAAATCCACTTCATGGTAGATTTTTATTTTTTTTTTTTTATTCAATTTATCATTTTGTCTTCATTTCTTTTATTTATGTTT